ATAGGCCATACATGTACAGTCATATTAAACATATTTCCACATTAGTCATGTTGTAAAGAAGAATTAGAACCAAAGGAAAAGACCACAAGAAAGAAAAAAAAACATAAAAAGGAAAAAAATAGTATGCTTCGATCTGCATTCAGACTCCATAGTTCTTTCTCTAGATGTGGATAGCATTTTCCATCATGAGTCTTTTGGAATTGTCTTAGATCCTTGCATTGCTGAGAAGAGCTGCTTCTGTCAAAGCTGGTCATCGCACAGTGTTGCTGTTACTGTGTACAATGTTTTCCTGGTTCTGCTCACTTTGCTCAGCATCAGTTCATGCAAGTTTTTCCAGGTTTTTCTGAAGTCTGCCTGCTCATCATTTCTTATGGAACAATAGTATTCAATTACATTCATATATCACAACTTGTTCAGCCATTCCCCAGTTGATGGGCATCCCCTCAATTTCCAATTCTCTGCCACCACAAAAAGAGGTGCTATAAATATTTTTTGTACATGTGGGTCCTTTTCCTATTTTTATGATCTCTTTGGGATAATTGTGTGATTTTTGTTGTTTTTGTTATTGATATGATAAGTTATACTGAACCAGCCCTGCGTTCTTGATATAAATCCCACCTGGTAATAGTATTTGATCTTTGTGATATATTGCTGTAATCTCCTTGCTAATGTTTTATTTAAATTTTTTTGCATCAATATTTATTAGGGAAATTGGCCTATAGTTTTCTTTCTCTGTTTTTGTTCTTCCTAGTTGAGGTATCAGCACCATATTTGTGTCATAAGAATTTGGTAGGACTTCTTCTTTGCCTATTTTTCCAAATAGTTTATGCAGTATTTGAATTAATTGTTCTGTAAATGTTTGGTAGAACTCACTCATGAATCCATCTGGTCCTGGGGGTTTTTTCTCAGGGAGCTCATTGATGGCTTGTCTTTTTCTAAGATAAGGTTATTTAAATATTTTATTTCCTCTACTGTTAATCTAGACAATTCATATTGTTGTAAATATTCATCCATTTTACTTAGATTGTCAGATTTATTGGCATATGATTGGGCAAAATAGCTCTAATAATTGCTTTTATTTCATTTTCATTGGTGGTGAATTCACTTTTTTCATTTTTGATACTAGTAATTTTTTTCTTTTTTAAAAAATCAAATTAACCAATGATTCATCAATTTTATTGGTTTTTTTTTTAATAAAACCAGCTCCTAGTTTTATTTATTAGTTAAATGGTTTTCTTTCAGTTTTATTAATCTCTCCTTTGATTTTCAGGATTTCCAATGTGGTTTTGAATTGGGATTTTTAATTTGTTCTTTTTCTAGTTTTGTTTTGTTTTTTTTTAGTTGCGTACCCAATTCATTGATCTGTTCTTTTTCTGGTTTATTGATACAAGTGTTTAGAGAAATAAATTTTCCCCTAAGGACTGTTTTGCTGCATCTTGTAAATTTTTGTATATTGTCTCATTGTTGTCAATATCTTTAATGAAATTATTGATTGTTTCTATGATTTGTTTTTTGGTTCACTTATTCTTTAGGATTAGATTAGTTTCCAATTGATTTTTAATCAATATTTCACAGAGTACATAGCCAGAGATTAAGTTGAAGTTAATACTTTGTTGTGTCATGAGGATAAACCTTACTCAGGGTGCTTTGATGGATTCTCTTCCACATACATTTGGGGAAGAGTTGAGGGAGCTGCTGGACAATGTCAAAAATTTTATAGTTAATATGGTCTTCATAAGGACCTTGAACAATACAATTCCTTTCAGACTTCTGTAAAAATTCCACATAAAAGATATCAGCTAAAATAAGACTTCTTTTCTAATGACTGCTTTCACAGCTTATAATCCTTACCAGTGGCATAACATGCATACAGCTGGTTAGGTACATCTGCTTGATCTTTTCTGGACATATCCTTTCCAGTAGCAAACCTCATTAACAGGAACTAGGAGAGCAACACATTAATTAAGTAGTTTTCGTGCAAGCTGCCCATAATTTTCCTTCTGTAATATGTCAAATTTAGGATAAAATGATTGTTATCTTTGGACAAAGTGAGAATGGAAATTTGAGTAATTGAGCCATTTCTACTTTCTACTTGGTCAGTTCACTCATATAGCAGGGCTAAATCTGTATGTGTATAGTCTGGGAAGTCCCTGTGACCAGGAACTTTTTCTTAGTCTCCTGAGACCTTTCAGAAGAGATTCAGCATAAGAATTCCTATCTGTTTGAACAACCAATTCGTGCTTTTCACACAGATAAGCCAGGAATGCTGATACCCTTTAGAGTCTGACAGGGAGTGATACACTCAGTGGTTGAGTCATTGACCACATTTGTTTTGTTTTGTTTTTAAAAAATTGTCCACTAAGATCTTTTTTTTCTGAGTCAGATTTGAAGGATTGAATGGTTTTGTTGTTTATACCCCTAGCAAATATAGTGACAAAATTCTCCTCACTATAGATCACACTATCTTTGGATTTCTTTAACAGACCAGTCTGATGACAGATCTGAGCTGCAATATCTCATTATGGGGTAAGCCAGCAGCACAAAAGATGAGAATTTTATGCATCTTAGCAATGCTGGTTATGCTGTTTATTGCTAAAATGCCCATCTGAATAATTTCTTCACGGTAGATTTGACATTGAGGGTTGTTTGGCTATTTTAATAATGTCAAGAAAATCATCAGCTAGGGCAGTTGGACCTCTATTAATAGGGTTTCTGGATTCATTGAAAATTCTACTAATGGTGTTAAAAAAATATCTCACATAAACTCACATTTTCTTAGTTTCACTGCCTGAAATTCCTTTGGATACCTGAATTCCTGCTTTGCTACCACCAAGTTCTCTTTGTGCCATTGGATAATGTCAAGTGAATAGTCTTAGCATATCTGGGAAACTTAACACAATCTAATATTCTCAAAAGACCATTGACTTATGATTTTGTGTTGTAGGTGAGGTGGGGCTGGGACAGGTATTCTCTGCTGATGACCAGTGTTACTAACCTTACACGGGACTTAGGCAACCTAAATAGAACCTCATTCATGTTCTCCAAAATCACTCAGTGCTCTGTTATCTCCTCCATCCTAGTGGGCCTCATATGTATTTATTTGGATCAGTTTTACACTTGAAAAAGTATGTGGCATTCTTATTTAATCACACCAACCCTGTGAAATAGGCAGGGCATTTTATTTATAGATGAGGAAGACAAAGCTCAGGTAGTTAAGTGAATGCCAAGGTTAGTAAATGGCAAAATCAAGACTATAATTCAGGACTTTTGTTTCTAGTCCAGGTACTTTCCACTACATGTTGTTGCTCCTGGTCTGAATGGTACACGAATGTGCATATAACCTCATAAAATGCCTCATTTTACAGAGATGAAAGACACCTTGAGGAAAAATTTTTGAAAAATGTGTTGAAACAAAATAGTTCTAAAATCATTTGACCAGCAGGGGGAGACAAGAGATCCATTATTGGGTTGGGGTGGTGGGGTTGCTGGCCCTCTCTTGTTCTTATGTAAGATCTGGAAAACAGTGATAAATCATTTGACATAACATAAATATCTTTAAAATACATAATAAAAAAGTTTAATGACATTAGATACTATGCATGGTGTCCATATAATTTTTATTGATCTCTCTTACTTTTTTACGTGGCCACCATTTCCCTCAGAATCCCCTCCCCTCCAAAGGAAAAAAAAAAAGAAAATCAGTAAAACTGACAAATACATCAAAAAAGTCTGAAAATATGTGCATTATACCAAACCTGCAGATTTTTACTCCTATCAGGGGCCAGGGAAGGAGTGTCTTCTCAAATCTCTTCTTTGGAGTTATGATTGATTGTTCTTTGCAGTTTCACAACATTCGCTTTTGATTGTTGTGTGATCATTTCCATTTCCAGTGTTTTAATATATTATATAGTATATTGTTTTCTTGCCTCTGATTACTTGACTCTGCATCAGATTGTGTAAATATTTTTACGCTTTTCTGTATCTATCATATTTGTTGGGTTTTTTTATCACAGTAATATTCCATTGCATTCCTGTTCCACAATTTGTCTAGCTGTTCCCCAATCAATGGACATCTTCTTTGTTTCCAATTCTTTGCTGTCACAAAAAGTACTGCTATAAATATTTTGGTGTAAATAGGGACTGTCTTCTTATCAATGACGTCCTTGGGGTAAAATCCTAGTACTGGAATGTCTGGCTCAAAAGGTCCTGAAATTTTAGTCACTTTCTATTTGAATAATTCCAAATTGATTCACAGCTTCATTAATAATATACTAGTATGCCTATTTTCTCACAACCCCTCCAATATTAATAATTATTTTTTCTTGTCTTTGCCAATTTGCATGGCATAAGGTGGAAACTTCAAGGTTGTTTTGATTTGCATTTCTCAATAATATTAGTGATGCAGAGCATTGTTTTATATGGTTAACAGTTTTCAGTTCTATTGAAAACTGTTTGTTCATATCTTTTAACTACTTACTTATTAAGGAATGGCTTGTAGTCTTTCATTTATCTATTTATTTACTTTGGACACAGAAGCCCTTATCAGAGAAATTTTATACAAAGATATTTTCCCATTTGACGACTTCCCCTTTTATCCTAGGTGCCTTAATTTAGTTTGTGCAGAACCATAGTTTCATGTAATCAAACAGTTTCATGTCATCAAAGTTATCCATTTTATATTCTGTAATTACCTCTATCTCTATTACATCTTCTACCCAAGTATATGATCAACTTCTCTTCTAATTTTTATATCATTTTTAATAAGATCACATATCAATTTAATATTTATTGTAGCATATGATATAAGGTAATAATTTTAAATGAAAGATGAGATCCAGGTTCATAATCAAGTTATATTGATGTTTCTGCATGCCCAGGACCTTGTCCTTGATTAAAGTGAGAGAAAATAACTACATGATTATTTTACAGGCTATTGTTTTACCCTGTTCTTAAAATAAAATCTTTTTTAAAATTATATTTAATTTTCTTTTAACTTTCAGAAGTTGGAATCTCTAAAGAAGAAGCTCTAGAAACATTGCAAGTAATAAGGCGGGAATGCCCCGTGGATATGTCAAAATATGCTTCTGTGTCCATATCAGGCAAGAACTGTACAGCATTGGAACTTCTTGAGCAAGAACACACCCAGGGCTATATAATTACCTTTTGTTCAGCGCTGGATAATATTATGGGGGGTGGAATACCCCTAACCAAAACAACAGAGATTTGTGGTGCACCAGGTGTTGGAAAAACACAATTATGGTAAAAGAAAAATGTCACTTTTTTTTGTTTTTGTTTTTAGGCAATTGGGGTTAAGTGACTTGCCCAGGGTCACACAGCTAGTAAGTGACAAGTGTTTGGTCTGAGGCCGGATTTGAACTCAGGTCCTCCTGACTTAAGGGCCGGTGTTCTATCCACTGCGCCACCTAGCTGCCCCGAAAAATGTCACTTTTAAAAAATGTGCATAGTAACATGTAAAATTATTTAATGGGCTTCTGGGTTGTAGCTCTCTGTTCAGTAAAAAGAATTTTTTTTTAAGCCTAGAAGCTTTTATTTCTATGTATGTATAAAATAAAATTAGAGGTGGTTCACTTTTTTCCATTACCCCATTTGATAAATATGCATTTTTGTTTTATTATGGGAATTAGACCATAAGAAATGCTTTAGTGGATTTCAGCATTGTTGGAAACAACCTAATATTCTGCTGGCATGTTTTCTAAGAGAAAATGTTCGGTTATTCAATCAACTAGCATTTAAAGTGCCTGCTATGTTCTAGGCACTATGCTAATTGATGGGGATACAAAGGAAGGCAAAAAGCAAATAGTCCTTTCTCTTGAGATTCTCACAGTCTAATAGGAGAGAGAGTCAATATGTAAACATGTATAGAGATTGTCACTCATATCATCTTTAAAAGGTCAGGGGCTTATCCTTAACGTTTGTAATTTGCATTTATGCCATTTTAATATTCTTCATGAATGTATAAAGATAGAGGATAGCGTAGTATAGTAAAGGGCTGGCCTTGGGTTCAAGTTCTACCTCTGGCATAGACTAGCTTAGTGACCATGGGCAATCACTCAACCTCTCAATGCCCCCAGGCAAATCTCTTAAGTTACAGTCTTGACAATCTTTATCTCATTGGTAAAGGGCATTTCCATGCCAGGAGTTTCTCATGCCAGTGAAATCACAGGTTCTCTTCTCCAACTTCCCACCAAAAATAAAGTGTTATTTCATACCACTCCCCAACCTTTCACCCCACCTGTCATCACACTATTCAGTGCTTATGTAACTATAATCCTTATCATTTCTTATCTGCCCTGGGTCTTCTATTCTGAGGGAAGATAGGGGGGACGGACTACCTTTCCCTGAACACTTTTTCCAGAAAGCCCCAGCTGTTATCTGTTATACTTCCTGCTCCTCTGGCCATCTCATTACTAGCCTCTTTGGTCCTCTCCCCTCACCCCCAGTCTTGAACCGTGATCACATCAACTCTCTTCTTCCTAGATGAAGTCTACCCATGTACTCCTTATGGCCCATTTACCATCCCAATAACTTTTCTGACCAAAGTGCCCCTTCTGTGGCCATCACTTTTCATTGTGTGTTAGGACAATAGAATTAGAATGTAATTTTTATTTTAGAAAAAAACATAAGCTCCTTGAGGGCAAGAGCTGTCTTGTCTTTGTTTTTGTATCCCCAATGCTTAACATTGTACTTGGCACATAGTAAACACTTAATAAATCTTTTTTCATTAATACAGGAATTATTTCTCTGCTTAACTCTAAATGTTGCTTAGAAAATATTTTATCTTATTCTTTAAGATCTCATTTTTACATTAAATAAATTTGTTTTGTTGTGATGCCAGCCAGAAATAACTACCAAATATAGGTTCATCAATTTAAAGCCATGCCCTGCAGGCTCTAATAGGGTAAATTTAAAGAGAGAAAGTTAAAATCTGCACTTTGCCCAAGCCTGGCCCAGGTAACTCCAAGGGAATCCAATTGCCAGTGTCAAGCTTACCCCTCCCTGAGCTTGAAATTGACAAGTCTGCCTCCTTAGGCCGAACATGATGTTTAGTGGCCATGGGCCATGAGTGACACTCACTTCTTTTGACCTTTGTTTCTCTTCACAGCATGCAGTTGGCAGTAGATGTACAGATCCCAGAATGTTTTGGAGGAGTAGCAGGTGAAGCCATATTCCTTGATACAGAAGGAAGTTTTATGGTTGACAGAGTGGTAGATCTTGCCACAGCCTGTGTTCAACATCTTCACCTTATTGCAGGATCACACTCAGAAGGGGGTGAGTTTAGAAGAGATGTTCATTCCTGTAGGACAGAAGATGAAAGTAAATGAGTTCCCTAGAGCCTACATACACTTGTAATTAAAATAGTTATATTTAGATGCTGATTCTTAAAATTTGTTGTGAAGTAAGTAAATTAATGGTTTTTAAATGGCTTCTCTCCCCCTCCCCCATTCTTTTCATGCCTTTAGATGTTTTGACATAAACGAGTACTTTTCACAAGTCACTTATTTTTCCTTGAATAAGTATGTACAATCTTCTCTACTAGGAGCTGTCTTCCTTAGTTACCCATGGCCTGGAGGGCCCCAGCCCATTAAGTGGGCAGCTTTCCCATGCTCTAGGCTGTCAAGATCTCCATGCCCAATTTTCTTGCCCATGTCCCTTTTCTCTTTTCCCTCCTAGCTGGACAGACCTTTCCATCCCCGTTCTTGCCAGAGGGAACCTAGAATCCCTACTTCCTTCCTGCCCCTAGTCCCCGATAAAGCTTCCTGTCTTATGTACGTACCCTTAGGATCTTTGGACCTTTCCATGTACCCCAAAACTGAACTCGCCTTTGTGCGTTGTTTTCCCCGAGTAGAAAGTGAGCCTCTTGAGAACAGGAACTGACTTTTTCTGTTTGATCCTCAGCATTTAAAATAGCGCTTAGTATATTTTGTTGTTGTTGTTCAGTCGTTTCAGTTGTGTCCAACTCTTGGGGACCCCGTTTGGGGTTTTCTTGGCAAAGATACTGGAGTGGTTTATTATTTCCTTATTCAGCTCATTTTACAGATGAGGAACTGAGGCAAACAGGGTTAAGTGACTTGCCCAGGGTCACACAGCTAATACGTGTCCAAGGCCAGATTTGAACTCAGGAAAAGCAGTTTTCCTCACTCCAGGCCTGGTACTCTATCCACTGCACCACCTAACTGCCCCACTTAGTATATAGGAAGTACTTAATACATGTTTTTTTCATTTGTGGTGAAATATACGCTTAGAAAAATTATTCTTAAAATCCCGTTCATGTGTTGTATAGAGTACAGTGTTGCTTGTTACTTTGAATAGACAGTATACAGTTCAGTTTGGCATTTATTCATTGCTTGCTTTGTGCCAAAAGCACACAACACTTGCTGTGCTAGACATATATAAAATATGGCATAGCCCCTGCCTTCATGGAGTCTGATAAAATTATATGACACATGCACATAAATGTAAAGTGAAATATTTTATTGACCACTACTCTATGTAACCTACTAGGATTAAAATATCTACTTTTGTTGTTTGTTGAAAACATTAAGCAGATTTAGCGAGTTTTTAAAGTAATAGCTATTGGTATGATACAGTGAAACATGCCAGATTTGGAGGCAAAGGACTTGTATTCAAATTCCACCTCAGCTACTTAAATGTATATATGATTTGAGCAAGTCACTTCTACCTGGGCCTCAGTTTTCTCATATGTAAAATGAAGGGGTTGTATTAGATGACCTCTAAGGACCCTTCCAATTCTAAATCTTTGAATTTTTCTCTTCTTAAGTGTATTGGTTATTTTTTTTTTTTTAAGGCAATTGGGGTTAAGTGACTTGCCCATGGTCACACAGCTAGTATATATCAAGTATTTAGTCTGAGGCTGAATTTGAACTCAGGTCCTCCTGACTTCAGGGCCAGTGCTCTATCCACTGCACCACCTAGCTGCCCCAAGTGTATTGGTTCTTAACGTACCAAGCTGCCTACCTATGTCTCTGAAACCTAAGAATTTCATTTTCAGCTGGTCTACTTTGAAGAGGAAGAGAATGTTGTGTTTTTGTTTTGCATCTTTTTCTGATTTAATTTCAAAGTATTACACTTCAGTTAGCAAACATACTCATAAATTTTTGCCCTTGAAATGTCTTGGTATTTAAAGGCACATGAAGAAAAAAATGCATGTGGAATAAACATTAAAACATTCTTTTTCTGTTTGTGAAACACAAAGGAAATCATGATCTAGCCATATTAATAATAGCTTACATTTTTATTATTAATACTTTAACTTACATTTTTATTACCTTTTCAGGGCTTATAAAATATTTTTCTTGTAGCAACTCTGTGAGGTAGGTAGTACAGGTATTATTATTTCTATTTCGCAAATGAGGAGAAGTTTCAGGGGGTTTAGATGATTTGTTCGACCTTACACAATTTGTAAGTTATTGAGCCAGGACTTAAGCCCAGGTCTTAATTTATGGACACAGTATAGGTTTTTACCCAACCTCTTACAAATGTGAGGGAGAAGTAGATCACAGACATTGTGATTTTTTTTCAGGATCCTAGTATTCAGTAGAAAAGCTGAAAGTAGAACTCGAGACATAACTCAGAGTTGGATCTTTTAACCAATTGGTAATGTAGTCCAGAGAAACCAGGAGTCCTCAGTCCTTTGCTTCCATTTTTGTAACTTTTTTTGGATTTAATAGGAGGTACAACCTTTTCTCTTATTTGTTATTGAATTTATTATTTTCCCATCCTCAACAAAATAATAAGATTATAAATAAATCATTATCTAAGGACCTGTTGTTGTTTATTTCAGAGTACCAAAAAGCATTGGAGAACTTCTCCCTAGAAAGCATACTCTCTCATATTTATTATTTTCGTTGTCACAACTATACGGAGCTACTGGCACAGGTTCATCTCCTTCCAGACTTCCTTTTGGAGCATTCAAAGGTATGGGACCTTTGGACATGTTTGAAAATCACAGGCCATAAGCATAGTGACATCAAGTTAAGATAAAAGCAGTCTTTCTTAATTCTTTAGGCAGTCAGAACATTTTTTTTTCTTTTCCCCCTTGCCACCATCTAAACATTTAATTTTTTTGTTCTGGGTGATGTAAACCACCAATTGTTCACATTTTCCTCCTTTGCCTTCTCTCTTACCACCCCCACAACCATTTCCCTCTTTTCATTTATTTACTACCCAATGATAGTCACACTGTCCTTTTGCCTCCTGAGGTACTTCGTTCTGAAAATAGGTTTACTGTATTGCCTTAATTATTGAGAAGTATGTGTTCTGCAAATTAACACTTTTAAAAATGCCTTTTCTTTTCATAGGCTTAGTGAAAGCTTTCCTTCCCATCTACTGCCTTTCCTTGCCCAATTAGAACCTATGCTACTTGGTGCAGGTGGCCATGTAGGACAATATACTTTGGAAGCTGCCTTCTATTCAGATAGGGAATACAGTGGGGATCTAATTTAGTATACTTTGGGTACTTCATTTTGAGTTTACTTATGCCTCAGGGAGGCATAACCTTCTTTCCCAAAAGTCCAACACAGTAGGGCTAAGTGACTACTCCTCCTGGGTGAGTGTTTGTTTAAAAAGCTGCAAAGGGTTCTAACAAAAGAAGTTTGGTAGATTAATATACTAATCCCCAAATGCAGGATGTCCGTACTACTTCACCATGTGATTGAAGATTTTCATAGAGTTAGGCTACTTTGCTTTCTTTACTGTATTTAATTTTGTGTACACCTAACAAAACAGAGGAGTTAAAATGCAGGTAGCATTTTCACAGAATCCCACCAGGATGCATGCAGTAGCCACACAAAATGTTCTGGAATTAACTGCCAAGATGGAAAGTAGTGACTACCTGTAAACACTTTTGTTTTGCTATGGTTGTTAACACTAAGCCTTTTTGGAAAAAAAAAAATTGTTTTGAAAAAATTGTATTTTTTGGTTATTAAAATTGTTATTTTTTATTATTTATTTTTGTTGTTTTATAAGTTCTGAACTGTCTCCCTCTTTTCCTCCCCACCTCATGCTGGAGAAGGCTACATTTGACACGTGTGTGTGTGTGTGTGTGTGTGTGTGTGTGTGTGTGTGAAATATATATGTAAAACCATACTATGCATACTTCTATTTATCATTTCTTTTTCTGGAGGTGGACAGTATCTTCCTTCATAGGTCCTTTGTAGTTGATTTAAGTATTTATAATACTCAGAATAACTTACTCGTTCATAGTTAATTTTTGAATAATATTGCTGTTATGTATACAATATTCTCTTGGTTCTGCTCATTTCACTCTTCATTATTTCATGCAAGTTTTTCCATGTTTTTCTAAAATTGTCCTGCTCCTCATTTCTTACAGCACAGTAGTATTCTATCACAATCAAATACCACAACTTGTTTAGCCATTCCCCATTTGTGCATCCCCTCAATTTTCAATTCTTTGCCACTACAAAGAGAGCTGCTATAAATATTTTGGAATATATAGATTTTTCCCCTTTTTCCTTGATCACCTTAGGAAACAGACTTAATAGTGGTATTACTGGGTCAAAAGGTATATACAAATTTATAGCTCTTTGGGCATAATTCCAGATTGCTCTTCCAAATGGTTAGGTCAGTTCACAGTTCCACCAACAGTGTTTTAGTGTCCCAATTTTTCCACATTCCTTCCAACATTTGTCATTTTCCCTTTCTGTTGTTTTAGCCAATCTGATAAGTGTGAGATGATATCTCAAAGTTGATCTAATTTGCATTTCTCTAATCAATAATGATTTAGAACATTTTTTCGTATCATTATGTAGTTTTGATTTCTTCATAGAAAAACTGCCTGTTCATATCCTTTGACCATTTATCAATTGGGGAATGACTTGTATTCTTACGAATTTGACAAAGTTCCCTATATATTTGAGATGAGACTTTTATCTGGGAAACTATCTATAAAAATTTTTACCCAATTTTCTGCTTTCCATCTAGTCTTGGCCACATTGGTTTTATTTATATAGACCCTTTTTAATTTAATGTAATCAAAATTATCCATTCTACGTCTCACTGTTCTCTTTTTATCTTTATTCATAGATTCTTCTCCTATTGATAAGTCTGATAGGTTATATGTTCCACGTTCTGAGTTTCTTACATCTCCCTTTACATCTAGGTAATGTATCCATTTTTACCTTATCTTGGTAAATGGTGTGAGATAATGGTCTATACCCCTTTTCTGCCAGACTGCTTTCCAATTTTCCCTACAATTTTTACGAAATAGTAAGTTCTTATCCCACAAGCTTAAATCTTTACATTTGTCTAACACAAGGTCACTAGAATCATTGACTACTGTGTACTATGTATGTCTGCTCTGTTCCACTGATCCACCTTTCTATTTCTTAGCCAGTACCAGATAGTTTTGATAATTACCACCATATAATACAGTTTAAGATCTGGTACTGCTCAACTTCCTTCCTTTACATTTTTTTTTCCATTAATTCCTTTGATGTTCTTGGCCTTTTGTTCTTCTAGATGAATTTTGTTGTTATTCTTTCTAGCTCAATAAAATAATTTTCTGATAATTTAATTGTAAGAGATGGCATTGAATAGGTAGATTTGTTTAGGTACAATTGTCATTTTTATCATATTGGCTCTGCCTACCCATGAACAATTAGTATTTCTCCAGTTATTTAAATCTGAATTTATTTCTATAAAGAATGTATTATAATTATGTTCATCTAGTTCCTGGGGTTGCATTGGCAGGCAGACTCCTAAGTATTGTCTACAGTTACTTTAAATGGAATATCTCTTTCTGGCTTTTCTTGCAGGGTTTTGTTCGTCATAGATGGAAATGCTGATTATTTATGTGGGTTTATATTTTATCCTGTTACTTTGCTAAAATTATTATTTCAAATAGCTTTTTAATTGAATTTCTAAGATTTTCTAAGCATAACATCGTACCGTCTACAAAAAGAGATAATTTTATTACTTCATTGCCCATTCTGATTGCTTCAATTTCTTTTTATTCTCTTATTTGCTATTGCTAGCATTTTTTTTTCCTTTTCCTTTTTTGGCTAGGCAGTTGGAGTTAAGTGACTTGCCCAGAGTCACACAGCTAGTAAGTATCAAGGTTCTGAGGTCCGATTTGAACTCAGGTCTTCCTGACTCCAGAGCCAGTGTTCTATCCACTGTGCCACCTAGGTGCCCCTATTGCTAGCATTTCTAATACAGTACTGAATAATGTTGGTGACAATGGGCAACCTTATTTTACTCCAGATCTTGTTGGAAAGGCTTCAAGTTCATCTGGTTCATCCCCATTATGATTAATGCTTGCTAATCATTATAGGTATCATTTTAAGGAAAAATTCATTTATATCTATGCTTTCAAGTATTTTTAATAGGAATGAATGTTGTATTTTATCAAAAACTTTTTCTGCATGTATTGATATAATCATATCAATATAATCATATGATTTTTGTTAATTTTGTTACTGATATATTCAATTATATTAATCATTTTCCTTATGTTAAATGATCCCAGCATCCCTGGTGTAAGTCTCACTTGATCATAATACATGATCTTTGTGGTATATTGTTATAGTCTCCTAGCTAGTGTTTTATTTAGAATTTTTGCATCCATATTGGTTAGTGCAGTTGGTCTGTAATTTTCTTTCTCTATTTTTGCTCTTCCTGATTTAGGTTTCAGCACCATATTTGTTTCATAAAAGGAATTTGGTAGGACTCCTTCTTTTCCTATTATTCTGAGTAATTTATTTAATATTGGGATTAGTTGACCTTTAAATGTTTGTAGAATTCACTCCCTGTCTGATCCTGATGCTTTTTTCTTTTTTTTTTTGTAGTCATGCAAAACACTTCCATAGTAGTTATGTTGTGAAAAACTAAGTATATTTCCTTTCATCCTATCCTACCGCCCATTTATTCTATTCTCTCTTTTGACCCTGTCCCTCCTCAGAAGTGTTTGCTTCTGATTATCCCCTCCCCCAATCTGCCCTCCCCTCTATCATCACCTTGTTCTCTTGTCCCCTTCCTCCCTTATTTTCCTGTAGGGTAAGATAAATTTCCATACCCAATTGTGTATGTTATTCCCTCATTAAGCCAAATCCTATGAGAATAAGATTCACTCTTTCCTTCTCACCTTCCCCCATTTCCCCTCCACTGTAAAAGCCTTTTCTTGTCTGTTTCATGTGAGATAATTTAACCCATTCTGCCTCTCCCTTTCTCCTTCTCCCAGTATAATCCTCTCTCACCCCTTAATTTTATTTTCCAGATGTCACCCTTCATTTTTAACTCATCCTGGGCCCTGTGTCTATCTATCTATCTATCTATCTATCTACATACATATAATTTTTTCCCTCCCACTACCCTAGTACTGACAAAGGATTCATGAGTTACAAATATCATCTTTCCATACAGGAATGTAAACAGTTCAACCTTAATAAGTCTCATACGATTTCTCTTTCCTGTTTACCTCTTCATGTTTCACTTGAATCTTGTATTTGAAAGTCACATTTTCTATTCAGTTCTGGTCTTTTCATCAGGAATGCTTGAAAGTCCCCTATTTCATCGAATGACCATTTTTTACCCTGAAAGATTATACTCAGTTTTGCTGGGTAGGTGATTCTTAGTTGTAATCCTATCTCCTTTGCCCTCCAAAATATCATATTCCATGCCCTCTGGTCCCTTAATGTAGAAGCCCTGATTCTTTTTTCTTAGGAAGCTCATTTATGGCTTGTTCAATTTCTTTTTCTAAAATAGGTTTATTTAGATATTCAATTTACTCTTCTGTTAATCTAAGCAATATATGTTTTTGTACATATTCTCCCATTTCACTTAAATCGTTAAATTTATTGGCATATAATTGGGCAAAATCAGTCCTAGTAATTGCTTTGATTTCATCTTCATTAATGGTATATTCACCGTTTTCATTTTTGATACCAATGATTTGGTTT